CCTGTTTGTCATTTGATGAAATTACATTAGCTGAGAAAAAAATCTTAAATGGTAAATCTCCAGGCGTCAATGGTGTTTTCCTGAAACCTGTCTCCTGTGCACCAACTACTAACAAAAGCAAGGTTCTACCTATAAGACTGAAATCAGCACTGAGTGATCAATCATACAAATATTTGACAGTGTAAACCTAGTGTGTGATATCATTACTTATTCAAATAGGAACAATACAACACCATTTTTTCATTGGACCACGGAACGGCGTTGGCTTCATAAAGAATATCTTTTCAAAACCTTAAAGGCTTTTGGATTTGGAGATCAGTTTGTTCAAAATTTATAGTCAATTACAATTGGACGCAAAGTCCCATTCGTAGCAATGACGCCCTCACCTGTCCAGTTGACAACTCTACTCTATTTCAATTAAGCCTCTTCTTCACAAAATAAGAAATTAGTGTCAAAGTCAAGAAATAGCTTTCCCTAATCTGGTGATAGAAATGTCAATCTCATTGTCTACGCAGTAATTTAACCACTTTTAACGCCCCTGATTTATTTTACTGATCTCTTTAAAAACAATTACATCAGTTGAACTATAACAAACATATATTTAATATTAAAACCCAACAGGAGACAGTGCCTATTTAAAAAAATGATCCTCCCCCACAACGGCTCTGCAATCATTAAGCGCAAGACGTCATGGGAAATGTAAATTGTTTACTTGGTCCACAGCTGTTTCAACTAGAGATGTTAATTCCATATTCTAACACCTTAAGCTACGCTATTATCTGTTTTAAAAGGACTCACTCTATTGAAAGCCGTTTTATATCACGGCTTCTAACTTAGCACTTTGATTTCCAATAACGCAATGAAAAATACCACAACAACACGACCATTTCGTTCACAGCTTTCGCAAACCGGAAGCACAGACAAAACGTGCTCAGACAAACGTCCCAGTAATAAAAGAAAGAGCTATATATTTCGAATCTCATTTTTCATTCTGCAAATCTCGCTTTCATGCACCTGTCGATTCACATTTTAGAAATATGCGATGGGGATTTTTACATTATTAGAGATCGGTCCTACTCTGCCTGGACCGCCGTTACTTTTTGGGCGACAATTACGCTGAGTTTGCACCTACCTTGTAAACTATGATCACATTTGTATCCAATATATATTCATGGCGGCGTACGTCAAAAAATACCGCACGCATTCTGTTTCTCGAAAACAGTGATTTCACGGAGCACTTCGAAGCGATGTTTAACGCTTGAGCCTCATTTGAATACTGAAATCTGGCGGGCATCTTTCATACACCCGGAATCGCGGTTTACGGAAGGTCACACCGTCAAACTATGGGAACATTTTCAAGGAACTCTTATTCCTTAGTCATTAAATTGTACATTTTATACAGAAGACACCTCTCAATACATATTATTTCCGTGAAGTCAGTATCACTTTTGTTAGAGATTTCCTTGAGAGCGGTAATTGGGTTGACATTGAAAGACTGTACAAGTCAGTACGAATTTATTAGAGGAGATTGCTTGGGAAGGCAATCAAATAAACCATTCAAACAAACTGGCACGGTATCATCAAAAACCATAATACTACCAGCGATGCAAATTCTGGAAATACACGTCTACTCAATTGAATTAATTTATAGGGATGAAATTCTATTAAATTGCCTCTTTTACATAATTTAAAAGGGGTCATTTTATAGATATATTACACTTTTCAGAAACAACATGAAGGCAAACTTACTGTATGACTCGGATATTTTGAGTCTGCACCGTTACTTTGCGCCTATAACTAAAAAGGAGAGCAATTTGCACGGCGTCTGCTCCAAGCAAAACCGGCAATTGTTCCCATAACGCATCGGAACAAAGCATCAAATATAATTGCACTATTTTGAACCACTTAGCTCAGTTAACAAAACCAAAATAACATTAGCAAAAAAAGGCTTAGTTACATTAGCAAACAGCTTAGCTTAGTCAGCAATATGAAATACATTTTTTCCAAATATGAGTCACGGAGAGTTTTAAACGACATGACCAGCCTTGAGTACAGAGTCCTTCCTGGGGATATCATCATCGCCTGATTTACACTGTCGTAAATAAATCGTGCAAGATGAGAAAAATTCCCAATAACGCACAAGACATGTTGTCCTGCCAAAGCAACGTATAGGTAGCTATTTGATTATACTTTTATGTTACAAGTGATGTTGAATCAACCTCTGGGAAAGGTCCATTTTTTATGCTCAGCAAATTGTGTCCATTTCGTACAAGATTACGTAGGAAGTCGAAATACTAACTACATCTCTGATAGTCTGTGTATAGGTTCACGACATTGGAAGATTGTAGAACACCCAGTTTACATTAAACACACAAAACAAACAACACCAGTTATCCCAGTGTGGGGAGTTTATTGTAACTTATTTGTATCATTTTGAGAGAACTTTATAATTTAATGTACCAACATTTTGATCTGTATTTATTATATTACTTGTATTCCTTCAAGAGTTCCCTCGCTATTGGTATTAATTAGCATTTCGACGAGGTCACATTGGCGTAATTTACATATCACAGGATTTGATGGGCGGAGCATGCATACGTATAAGATGGCGTGAATTGTGGGCAAGCAATTCTAGCATGCCGACAAAACCGAGCATCACAGCTGCCGTATCTCCGATGACCCGTCAGTTTCTTTACTTGGTCCTCCATGCAAGCTATCAGTGGAGATTCAATGATAAATATGATCCTCAGATGTTCATTGACATTACCATAAAGTTTGTAGTCTAGGCAGAAAGACGTAATTAGAAAGGTTGGGACTTTCCACTACTGATGGACACACTCGCAAAAACATTGCGACCGGACCGACATTGCATCAACGACCTCATGTTGCTTGGTATAGCTTGGTATTTTTGATGCACCTTTGTTTTGCATTGCTATCATAAACAAATATCAAACGTGTGAAATTTCAGTGCGGTTGCTATTAAGCTATCTAGTTTGTTTTATGAAAATTCAAATCAAATTCCCTGATTGGTGGAATAGTGAGTCTGCCAATCATTGCATGACATACTGAATCCCAGGTTGTTGGCAAGCATCGCCGGTGTCATCATATAACACATAGAATGTATGCAAAACTATATGATCTGGTGACAGAGTGTATTGTATCATTATCATGCTTATTAAAAAAGACGTTAAATTAAGTGGAGGATACCAAGCCTTATACATATGAAAATCTCTGCTCACAACTCTTCCTTATAAGTACGACAGCAAGAGTTTTCTATGGTGTCCAGAGAGAGAACAGTCAACATGCCTTTACGTGGAAAAGGTGAAAACTCGGTGGATAATTTACGTTATGACATGTAATATTAGGTTTTGATGGCTGCTGAGTCCCCAAAATGAACCAACAATCATGCGTTAGAGACATACCTATGCCAACGTTGAGTTGCCAGTACTTAATAAACACCTTGGCTACTCTCTTGACATTGACTGTTTATTCTATTAGTTTAACTCTTGAGCTGACTGATAACATACATTTAAAACGTGCAGAGTTCGTCCAAAACGTACACGTTTCATACAGATGTATCAGAGAATTGTAAAAAGAAATATGTGCTTCTATGCTCAAGGTGCCAATAGGCAAAATCTTTGAAACTTGAAACGCGATAATGTCTCTATTATTTCGTTTTTAACTCCTGGGAGACGATGAGCTACAACAGTAAAATTGAGTTAACCATTGCATGAACTTGTTCATAACGTGGCAATAATTTACGGTTGACTCTTGATAGATACTTGTGACCTGGTAGTCTCCCGACATGATTCTGATTGCTTTCGCACGCATAGCAAGTATGAGACAAAGGACATGCACCTTATCGCCATTGAAGATGTTGACAATGTTCCTCCTCCGAAAGGAAAGCCTGGGTTATTATGAATTCAACTGAAGCTGAAATTCGCATCCCCGTTGCACATACTTTAATTGTTTGCGTTGGCAGAATCCACGGGGTCTATCGAACTACTACTAAAGATAATATATAGCTACCCTCACTAAACAGTTGCATGTTTATAATAAAATAAAAACTCGACAGAAATATTGTCCTATAGAACAATAACATGATAAAATGGGTTATTATCGAGTACGTAACACGTCAGAAATATGAATAATTTCGACTTTTCCAAATTGTCGGATGTTAGAAACCAGTTTTTTATAGCGTAGACAAATGTGCAGCTGAACCATGTTTTTCTGTAATACATGACCTATTTTTAACAAACGTATTATGAAAACACGTTTTAAAGAATTTTCATCAAGTTTATACCAATTGTTGGAATAACATCTCTACAATTACTATCAATTACTAAGATGTTTATGTTAAACCGTTAAATGAACATTCAGGTTGGAATGGTCTGTAGTGAACACGCCCCACGGTGACTAGATGAAAATATACAAGCTAACAAGTTGAAAACAGTGAAATTTTGACAAGTTTCACTGCCATTTAGTTTTTTCTTGTAGTGTGATCAACACCCCAGTGCATAAATCGAATGTAGGTAAAATCATTAGTGTATGTTACAAATATAAGCTACAATGATCAGAAATGATCAGCTTAGGAAATTGTTGATGACGGTGGGTCTTAAAGGTTGACAGTACCTCATGATCTTCCTTACTGTGTATGCACATATTATCTAAAATAAGTCGATACAATTGATGTATGTTTTATAAGCCACATGCTTCAATTGATATCACGCGGATACTGTCAAATCAAAACATAAATACAAACAATATTAAAGCCATGTAAAGGTTTATTGCACCAACTAGTCATCGACTAGTTCAAAATGTATTTACATGTGAATGCAACACAGCATAGTACAAAGTTCAAAGTTATTTAAACTCCAATATGGAGTATTTAATTAAACAATTAAGCAGCTACAGAAAACAACATATCTACTTAATATCTATCTAATAGTTGTTCACAGTCATTGCATGATATCGAACCAATCATGCAATACCTAGTATTCTTAAACGTCATGCCGAGCATTATAATTTGCCGAACATTTTCTAAATCTTGATGCAAGCAGAACAATAATTCCACTGCTCATAAGAACACCAGCAGCAGCATAGAATGAGCTGTTATAGCTGCCAGACTTGTCGTACAGCCAACCTATGTAAATGAAACGTAAATTGGTAAAACCATTATAGCAGGAATGAACTTATTTCTTCTCATTATTTCATGTTGTATGATTGCAACACATTAATTATACATTATATATTTTCAATGATGGTTTGCCTGGAATAAAGTAACTTTTAAGCTTATCACAGACGATACTAACCTGCAAATGGAGGTCCACACATATATCCTATAGCCATACACATCCAATCCCACGAAAAAGCTGTAGAATGTTTCTCATCCCCTACACACACTCGCAGTGATACCAATACTAAAGGTTGGTAGATTCCAAAGAAAAAGCCATAGCATACAGTCAGGGTCACCAATGCAGGGTAGCCAGTTGTGAACGAAATACACAGAAGAATAACCCCACTACATCCAACAGCTATTCCCATCAGGGTGATAGCACATATATGACCACGATCAACAATCCAACCATGAGTAACACGTCCAATGGAACTTCCTACACCCATCAATGTTAACATGAATGCAGCGTTGTTTTTTGATATGCCAACGGATATTGCTCTTGCAGCTAAATACATGATGGCGGTTACAAATCCGATACCTTCAAGAATCTGAGCAACACAAAGCATCGTGAAGGCAGGTATTTCAATAAACATTTCAATTCCCAACAAATGAAAAAAGTTTCTAGCAGCGCGTGAAAAGACATTTTTGTCATCAACATTATTGTTTTTCTTTTCTTCAGTAACAATCATTGGTATAAATGTTTGTTTTTCTTCCGCAGTAGTACATAGTTTGTAATCAGATTTAACTTCACAGACATATGATTGTACACTATTTTGTTTAGTCCAAATATCGGCATTGTCTTTCACACTTTCTGTACTACTCTGTCTGTTAAATGGTCTAAGTAATGCACCACATACGACCAGTTGTGCATTCATACCGGCTACAAAAAACAACGATCCTCGCCATCCATAAATTTCAATAAGAAAGTTATAAAGAGGTGGAAGGCATAGAATCCCGCAACTAGCTCCGGCAAACATAATTCCACTGGCAAGGGCGTATCTCTTTTTGAAGTAATGGCCGATTATAAAACACACAGAAAGCTGTGAAAGGCCGTATCCCAATCCTGTATAAAGATACAAACAATAACATATCTAGGCGTATGTTGCGGTTATTCGGAACAAATATACTATGGCAATATAGTTGTGACAATAATTGAATTTGCAAACTTACCAACTAATACACCAAAGCTGAAGTAAAGAAATGATAATGAAGGTGCAAAGATGGATAAAATTACTCCTAATGTGGACAAGAATCCTCCTCCGATAACAACGATTCTTGCACCAAATCTTTTGCAAAGATAGTTGACCAGCAAACCTGAAGATAATAAATATCGTAAGACATACAATTCACTCATATTCTCTTTGGGACACATAATTAAATCATTTTTAATAGAAAATATTTCTGCAATTCATCTAACCGACCAACAGGTCGACCTGTACTCATAGATTTAATTACAGATTGGCAAGCAAGAACGTTTACCCACTTATGTACGCACGTGTGTGATTGTTGCTAGCATATCATGACTGTCAACATATCTTTTTGTACCCGACACGTTTGTAACACGTGCATGGTTTGTCATATACATTTAAAATTAATATTTTGCTGTAGATATTACTTCATTTTTAGTTTTAACATTGCACATAGGCCGACGCTAAAGATAGCATGGCGAATCACTCGCGCAAATAACTGTGTAAGAAGCAAAAATGATAAAGCATTATTATCCCACAACACTGGGTGTAAGTGTTTGTTGCATACACGTGTGTGTAGAATTTATGCCTACCTGAACCGACAAGAAAAGCACTGCTCAATGACCCTATAATGGAGGCTTTTGCAGCACCTTGATGAAAATATTCCAAAAATGACACTAAAAACACGCCGCTGGTGAAAAAGTTTCCTCCACATATGAGAAATACCATATAGCTTGTCACTAAAATCACCCAGGCGTAACCACCATCCAGATTTGTTAATTGAGCCTTCTTTTCCATTCTGAAAAATAGCATATAGTGTTCAAAAATCCCTGCTAGGTATACATATGTGTAACATAGTTATACAGCCTGAGATATCGTGCAGTGAATGCGTTCTTGCAATAGCTAGTTGGCCATGCATAAAACATGTAGAACATAATTCTGCTAACAAATACAGCCTTGTATAATCATGATAAAAAGATATACCCAGTTAAAAATGTCTTCGGGGGCTCACAGACTTGTCTAGCAATGACGGCGACAGTTTATATGATTGTGTTATCTGATTGCAATACAGTGGCGATGATATGAAGATGCTGGATAAACAGTTGAGCAATATGCCACAGTAATTAAAAACAAAAACTGTGTAGGACGTACAGACAGTAAAAAGAGGCATTTATGGAAACATGGTGGTATTGACTCACCTTAACACCACTGAATACAAAAATGACAAATTTCTTCATTAACGCTGATTATTCACTCGTCTTGCGTACACTGTGTCCAGTGTCGCCCATGCGCAGTCGCTCTATTCAAATGACCTTGGCCAAAGGTAGCTTTGATATGGCCATGTATATTTGCATAGTTATAACGGGAATGATTTGTTATGGCATGACCATTGGAATCATTATAGAATATAACACATAAATGTCAACCCATGCTACTTTTATTGCTATAAACTCAGAGAATTGTTATGTCTAAAAAAGACAGTTTTTACAATTTTTTTACTGTATTTCTATATTGAAATATTTTTAAATTATGTCGTAATCATATTATAATTAACATCAATCAATAAAACAATTACAGTCAATGCAGTAACGATGCCACGTTCAATAGCACACGGCTTCCGTAGAATGATTGTAATCAAATGTCACAAATAGTTTTCGCAAGAGCTAAACTATTATCTATTCTTATCGCTTAGCAACGCGGAATGACCTTCTGAAGACTCGGATCAATCAGAAATTGATTCATGCAGTCTTTTTTCCCGTTCGTTTAATATTATTTATGCTGGTAATAATTCAATCTAATGTTTGTGGCGGATGTCAATCCCAGCGCAATCTCGATGACGAATGTATTAATTGTACACTGATTTGCAGAGACTCTGATGTTTCTGTTAAGTTACAAATTCAACCTACCATAAACTTTCTGCAAATACATTTCTACCTAGAATTATTCTTGCCTAGTTGCGTCAACCAAACAGTGTTTCAATAGTCAACGATTAATGGTATCACACGATAGCTTTTTTATCATTGGCGTGTGTCACCCGTCTTTGTATACACAGTCACGCGATATGTCTGCCATTCTCTACTCAAACAAACTTTAATTTTGCGTTGATTAACGTCATAAGTTGCTTTGTTTTGTATGTCTAGAAACGTACACATGCTGTCTAATTATGGGGGATTCAAGTCGTAACGTCGGTGTTAGTTATTCTCCGTGCGTAAGTGTTTATACAGCCATATCTTGAGCTTGGACCAATCAAGTTTCAATTAGACTTGGTACATTCAATGAACACAATTTTATTTTTCAAATAGAGTTCAAAATGGCCGACTGTCATATATTTGGTACATTAATTGAACACTGTGCCCTTGATGCACGTCATTTACTTTGTTTCGAAGAATGCAGTTTCGGAGCCATACATTTGACATACCTTAACCAACCAAGTTCAAATTTCAACATAAACCAGTCAGCATTACGGAAAAACGCATGAGTTATCATCAACCTCAAAATGGCTGACTGGGGCCATCTTGATTACACGATTGCATTTCCACGGAGCCATATCTCATACATGTCGGTCGATATTATGGATATTGCCTAGGTGGTAATACAATATTTCATGCGTATAATATAAACGGGGACTATGTCATAGGTAATCACTGATTTATTATTTCGTGCTACTCACAGTGCTTGAAATACAAATCAGACGGTGAATTCATTTCCAGGGTGTTGGTTTTAGTAATGATTGACTATAAACTTAGGTAGGGGTAAATCTTTCACAGATCGACCCTTTATTCTGATATGTAGATTCACGCACATATCAAATACACCCGCTTCGCCTTTCATGATTACTTGTTTTCATCCTTCCGCTTATTTTCGGGGTGTCGTAACTCCCGTCGATTCAAAGTCTTATAAGCTCGTCGTTAGAGTAAAAAGTCAAGCCTCCTATCTCATCAGTGCACCAGAGTCGGAAAGGTCTTACTCCTGAATCAAACACACTTACATATTTAAATTCACTCATAAACTGTTACGGTCTTTGAAGTGTCACGAAGGAGTACAGTCCGTAGCTATACAATGCCTAAATTCAGTTGATGTACCGCCTAATACACCTTTTTTATTTTTTTATATTTCAAGACCAAGAGTGTCTCACGCCAATCGACTAGTTTACTCGTCACATTCTATTCTACAGAACCTCTCTTTCAGTCACCAATTATGCTGTGAGTTATTTATTTATCCTTAGAATTCACATATAATTGGCCAAACTAATACCAATAAAGGGGTATGAATCGTGTCCCCAAGCTAAAGTTTTTTTCAAGTAACCTTTGAGGTCTATACAACTCAAAAACGTCGTCTAATTTCACTGTCAAAATACTCCGTTGAAATGTTGGCTTCAATCTTGAATAGTCTTTCCCGGTTTCATTTTTATGTGAATGATTTGTCCTGTCAAACCCCAAGGCATAACCTCGACAACACTACGGCACACGCCCAGTGCTGAAACAGAACGGATATAAACACCATGTACACATTTGTACCTTGACGTCGCTTAGTCCAAATGTGGATCTGAAGGATCACTCGGCGGATAAGCCTGATTGAATGAATAGCCACGCGGTTTTGACGATTCCGTCATACTATATAACAAGTTAAGGCATACAATAGCCAGAATAATTACACAAATGTAGTTTTTCATGATCAATTTGGCAGTAATATACTTGATAGATACAGTGTACGAGTATGCTAAATAATAAGATTCACGGCCGGAAATGTTAGCCCTAAGTGGTTATTTACAAATTCAATTACCAAATTATGAGCTTAAAGGGCGGTGGTCGTCACGCCGCGTCCTGTTCGATATGGGGCTCATAGCGACGTATACAACGCGTGTAAAATACATTGTTTATTTACATACAATTCGAACACGCGCTGCGCAACGACCACCGCCCTTTAAAACTGGAGAGTCGACACCTGCGCACGCGCTGGAATTGAGTCCCAAGCGACAATAGTAACACACGTTAAAAACGCAAATACTCATGGAAGCTAGTTTGTAAACAATGACACGCTATGATCATCTGACGCATGCACAGATGACGACTCCCCTACTTTAAGATGTGACCTCATCGGAATAAGGAATGTTAAAATGACGCTCTCGAGTATAATTATTTGGCTTCAGCGTCTGCGCTGGTAATGTAGCATTCAATGATTGCTCGTTGAGTACTTTATAAGTTTTATTGTTTAACTATACGTAAACGCGAATGGGGTCGTCACTAGGGAAATGAGACCTACGCGACAAGAGCAACGCTAAACACGCAAAGGCTTATGGGTAGACGCTTGTTTATAAACAAGGCCATCTGCCACATGCGCAGGTGATGAGCCAAACCCCCTCCCCCACCGCTTTAACAGCAATTTCCAGAATGTCTGTTATTTTCAATGTTGGAATGGTTATATTCCCGTGACAGTGCCACTTACGACAAACTTTAAAATATAGTACAATATACATAGGTATTTCAAATACACCGTTGCGGTGTAAATGCAAATAAAACTAGATGGGCATGATTATTATCCATTTTTCCAAACAAACCGTGTTAATTATACTGATGTACTGCATACATTCGCTTTTAGTACAGCTTAGCTCCACACAAACTTAATCCTTATTGAACTCCAATCGCCTTAGAAGTCAATCATGACAGATGGCAGTCACCTTTGAAGTTTGAAATTGTAGCGAAATTCACCTAATTCTTTAATTGTATTGTGTTTGAAATCGGTATTTTGAGTTGAGTTGAAAAATTATTTTATATTTCCACGGTCGATAACGTCGGACTGTATTACACATTGACAATTTAGATCTAGCGTTGGATATCAGTAATATCGTACAATCTGATTGGACAGCAATCCGGGTTCTTGACAAGCTTATTTCTATTCTTCTGATATGGCATTTAAGGTAGAAGCCTAGTAATAATTTTTAACAAAATTGGTCATAAATCGCATGACAATGTTCATTAGTTTATTATGTACAATTATGAAGCTAATGTCCCATGGTACAATGAAATAGCATTATTTTGTGTGTTACGGTTATGCTTTTTGAGAAACGTGTTCTAATATTTCTTAAAAATTGTTATTTTTAGAAAAATCCCACAGAACACAATGTTAAAGAAAAATTGCATTTTTTGGCACTTCAGAACAACAAAAAGTACTCCATCATTAACAATATATGAGTTTTTCAGCCTATGTCACCAGGCTAGATTTTGAGGTATTGCATAATATCTCTTCCATAGAAATATGTGGCAAAAGTGTTATAATAGTGTCAAAATGCGACTTTCCACTAAAATACAACCATCAATTTCTCAAAAAAAGGCTGGTGGCCCCCATTTTTTCAGTCAAAATCTTTATGTTGCCTTGGAGTACAGTTTATTGCAAAATGAATAAATTCCGGGTATTTTAATTTAGAGTAGGCTTCTACCTCAAAATAAAAAAAGTACATTTGTTTTCAGGAAGTGAATATATCAAATATTCTTCTAAAATAGTGATAAAAAACATTTGAAAATAATTTAAATATTTATTAAGCTAGTTGGCGTATTACCATAGAGCGAATACAATTGAATTTAATTAATGAAACGAACACAGTTAACATTTTAAACCAATAATAAAGGATATACTTTAAATAACTAACCGGCATTTTAATTTGCCGACAATGTTCTAATTCTTGATGCAAGTAAAACAATTGATCCACTGCTTATAAGGACACCGGACGCGACATAGAACGAAGTGTTATAGCTACCAGACATGTCGTACAGCCAACCTGTGAATATAAAATGTGAATAGATATAATGACGTCATGGTGCTCTATGATATGCTTGATGACATGATATAACAGTGGTATAGCACATTCTGTGTTGCATAAAGTGTTTTTTAGGACTGCCATACACGATACTAACCTGCAAATGGAGGTCCACATATATATCCTATAGCCATACACATCCAATCCCATCCAAAAGCTGTTGAGTGTTTTTCATCCCCTACACACACTCGCAGTGATACCAATACTAAAGGTTGGTAGACTCCAAACGAAAGGCCATAGCATACGACCAAGGTCACCAATGCAGGGTAGCCAGTTGTGAACGAAATACACAGAAGAATGACCCCACTACATACAACAGCTATTCCCATCAGCGTTATAGCACATATATGACCACAATCAACAATCCAACCATGAGTAACACGTCCGATTAAACTTCCTACACCCATCATTGTTAACATGAATGCGGCGTTATTCTTTGATATGCCAACGGATATTGCTCTTGCAGCTAAATACATGATGGCGGTCATGAATCCCATACTTTCGAGAATCTGAGCAACACAAATCATCGTGAAGGTAGGTATTTCAATAAACATGCCTAAGCCCAGCGATTGAGCAAAATTTCTAGCAGCGCGAGAACAGAAGTGTCGTCTATGTCCAGGTAAGTGTGTCATAACATCGTAATTATTTTGTTTCATGTCTTTACAATTTTTCGCAACTATCACTGAGATAAATGTTTGTTCTTTTGTATTGGAGTTATCTTCACGAGTGAATGATTTGACACTATTTTGATCAGTGCAAATAGCGGCCTTGTTATCCACACTTTGTGTACTACTACGTCCTTTGAATGGTCTAAGTAATGCACCACATACGACTAGTTGTGCATTCATACCGGCTACAAGAAACAACGATCCTCGCCATCCATAAATTTCAATAAGAAAGTTATAAAGAGGTGGAAGGCATAGAATACCGAAACTAGATCCAGCAAACGTAATTCCATTAGCAAGTGCGTATCTCTTTTTGAAGTAATGACTGACAATGATACACGCGGACACCATAGACAGACCGTATCCCAATCCTGTAGAAAATACAAATAATAACTTCATATTAATCTGCATATAGACAGTATAATGATTGTTATTTGAGATTAATGTAGTTTAATATGCGTATTAACGAGTATTATAGATTCGTTAACTCACCAACTAATACACCAAAGGTAAAGTAAAGAAACGCCAGAGAGGGTGTGAAAATTGAAGCAATTAAGCCAAGGGTAGACAGAATCCCTCCTACGATAACAACGATTCTCGCTCCAAATCTTTTGCAAAGATAATCGGCCAATAACCCTGTGAATTACAAGAATGGTAACAGTTACTGAATCAGCGTGCTAGATAGTGGTTAAAAGCATTACAATAGTTAAGGCCACATAGCTGTGCCGTGCGTTCGGGCCAACCGTTAATTATTCATAAAAAGAGTCAATTTGTATAGTTTGTGCAAATATATGTAAATATAGGTAAGGCTTTGGCGAAATTTGAAAGAGCAAGTAATATTTTTCAACCTGGTATTTTTATAGATTTTATTTTTCGTTCTGTTCATTCATTGTTTTTCCAGTTTAAAAAAATATGAGCTCGCTTCATCCCTTCATCCCTTGCCTATTCCTTACACTAGTTACCAGCCGATACCTTCCCGCTCACAGGAAGTGCGTACAGTTGATCATAGTTCCCGGGCTCTCTGTGGTGGCAATTCATGAGATGTCCACAATTGCTATTTGGCGAAAATCAATATTAACATTATAATTTTTATTGTATTTATTATTGATACTGATCTTGCACGTTACTACAAAGTGACAAACACTGACAAGATTACAGATTTACAGGTACTCTTTGTGGTGATTGACTCGGGTCAAAGGTTATCGTACGCGTGGATCAAATATTGACGCTGATAAAAACAATCGAAAGATGCTGATACCACGTTTTCTTTATAAACACCACAGCCTAAGGTTATGCAGTTCACAGTTCATTAATAATAATATTGTACTCAAGTACAATGCCCATGACCATACGTAATATACAGATACTATAATGATGGCGACTAGAAAACCCTATAAATTACATTCAATTAATTAATTAATATAAAACGAATTAAAAGCATGCTAAAAATGTTAATTTGAATACTAATATTGTAACTATGTGACAATCTCCTCTTCTATGTTTAAATTCTTTAAGTGGTCCCCTAAATAAATAAATTGCTAACTGTTATATTAGGATGAGACTGTCAGTGCTGCAACAATTTATTTTGTTTGTGTTTCGTGGTTCACTCCTAAGGGTGTAGAGCAGAATCTGTAATGAATTATTCAAATTTCATCACAGATGCCATAACCCCGAGTTTACTTCCGTAATAAACAATTGGGACTGCGATAACCGATAACCGAACGAGTTGTTGCATTTGTTTTCTCGCTGTTCATTTGTAGTTATTAAAGGGGAGCAGAGGTGTGGCTTTTGACACTCTGTACATGACATTTGAGATCTATGAATGAATTCTGTCGATAAAAACAACTTGTATGTGCTGCGAAATGCCCTAAATATCGGGTATAAAACGGGCTGTGAAGCAGACGACAAACGTCCGCTTTTCCTGGCGTCATTTCGCCTCTAGAGGGCCAGTCAAATGACGTCATCAGTGAACACTGATAATTGAACCCATTCATGCTAGTATGTCAATCCCATAGAAATGCTGCTATGAAAGACCTTGTTAACTGACCAATTAAAAGTTGAAACATGGCGAAATGTTGTGCGTATGAATGCCATAACGATTTATGTTATGTTTCTCGAAATCCCAAATAAAAAATCACGTTGTTGGTTGCGAGAAATCGGCCCGGCAGAAGAACTAACCTGAAAATGAAGACACGTACAGCGCTCTAGCTATAGTAAACAGTGAGTAAATAAATATTGTTTGAGTTAAAACTAAATTAGAAATACGCTAATATCACTTGAACTACAGTAATCATTTCGCCCAACTTCCCACTTTTAATCGACCGCTTAATTTCCGACCGCACTGTATTTTCCGTTCGGAAAACGACCGCATTTTTATCGTAATTTTTCTCTCACCGACTCATTGAAAACGCTGACCGGTCGCCCGAACACTGGTCACTGGCACAGGAGTGATCGAAATAGTGGTTTTGAGTGGTACAGTTTGGGGATACAATGGGTACTAACTATTATTAAATTCCAAACTACTCTTCAAATCTATACCGCATTGTATCAATCGCGGACGAAACTTCACCTGTGTCCTATATTAAATAACTGACTTTGCGTTATTATTATGAAAGCGATATATTACAATGTTGAAATTTTTAGAACCGGTACAACATTGTAAACAAATTTGCGTAATTAGAAAAGCAGCGCACTAAGTAAACAACTACAAAATATACAAGTTTGCGTACAGCACCGTCAGAACTGATAACAATTTTACAAGATCAACGCGCGGAGCATGAAAGAAAAAGATTGCTAAGGTAACGTGCCTGTTCAGTGCGTGACTTAGGGGTCAAACTTCGGTCAACACACACTTGATGTCAGCATCGCCGCGCAGTAAGTTACGCAAAGAAGTTCAAGTTCAATTGCATCCCAAAATGATGTCGTTGATCACTCAGTCTTTTGAAAAATATTATAATTAGTTTCCAAGCTTTTGATGCAGCCAAATTTATTTAACTTTGTGGAAATATAATCTTTTTAATTCCCAGTCCTTTCTGTCATCAT